TCTTTCCCTCAATGTTGCAGCCTTTACAAAATCCACAGAGTCAAGGAAAATAAATGAACTGTCCTCTGATAGCAAGTCTACAGCCCAATTAGTATACCCCGTGAGCTATGCTTAGGGACATTTAGAGATAAACTCAGAAAAACTGAAAAGTACATTTTCAGTAAGGATGTGACTAATGTTATGTTTATATCTCTTTTTTTTTCTTCATTAATAACTTTGTTCAGTCACAGACACAACAAAGGAATTGACCATTTACTGCGAATATTCAGGTTTGTTAGAAAATAACTTCATAGTTATTGTTTCTGAAGCTTTTAAATTACTACCCATGTAATATGACCAGTGAATACCCATTTAGCCCATTTATGCAGAATTGATTAGTAAATCAGATTTAACAACTGTAGTTAACAAGAATGATGTTCTTTGTTAGCTGTTGTATTTTATCCAGTTCAAACAACAATAGGCAGGCCCTAGCTGTCAGCCTCTAGCTGTCAGCCTACACATCAATCACATATACAAGTTCTTTAAGGACAGTTTACCCAGTTTTGTACTGTTCTTGTATCCATAATTACTGTTACCATTTCGCCAACCAGCACTGAAAATTACTGAAATGGGTTTACTGCGTTTACTATACGTCTATTTTAATCTTTATTGTGTTTCACACAATTACTGATATGGGCCAAAAAACATGATGGCATCCTGAATGGGAAGTGCCTCCAGTCATTTTAAACCCACTTTTTTAGCATCAACTTAAAGTAGTAGCCTTTTGAAACTGTTTTTTTAAACTATGAATTTCAAAGAAAATATACTGTTTGAATGAGCTTAATGTCAATGTACAGGTGTGGAGTCGGATATCGCATAAATTCACCCTGCCATGTAAACTGACAGGAATGTCATTATGTGCTCTGAGTAAAGCCACAATATGGGCACTTTATTTAACCATAAGCCCTCTGCATATCTGATAAATACACCACTTGTTCTAAAAACGTGTGCATCCTTACTCCATCAGGCACAACCTCAAACGATGTAAATGACAGAAAATCATCAGACACTGCACCTACAGCATTGCCAAGCACCTATACACAAAAATAGTGGGTGTGTACTGCCCGCTGCAGTCAGGCAGCGGCAGTCAGAGCCTCGTATGAGCACCAAACCCACAATGGATTTTACCCAGATATGCCAACAACCTCATTTCCTGATGTCTCCAAATTTGGCCTGCCATTTTAATAGAATTCTGCTTTGGCTTGAACAGAATCGCTTAGCAATCGCTTACAATATACCCTGTGCAAATAATGCCCGACAAATACAACCGAAACAGGTGACAGAAAACCTAGATGATTCAGTCGAACGGCTCAGCAACGCCTGGTTTGACAGCTCGGTGGACACGATATCAGCCCCACAAAGATCCAGAATGTCATGCCAAACTACAATGAAAATCTGGCAATTTAGTGTGGCGGTTATCATCAGCTACTACACACTTCATTTAAACCCTTTTCTTTATTGCTGTGGGATCCACTCTTTAAATCGGGGCGCATATACAATTATGCAATGGCTTCTGAGAGGGATTACCGATAAGCAAAATAGCAGTTCATTGTCAAGTTTAGGAAACGTAATTTGACATCTCGTTCTATGCAAGTGAGCCATACTCAACCCACACTGAACAGTAGGTAATACTGAAGCTGGGGTGGGGACGCATAGCCAGCGAGAAGATAACGTTGAAAATTAAGATACCGTTATATTTTAACTCCTGTGTTACGTCAACGTTAGCCAACTTGTATCAGAGAGCTGACTACAGTAAGTCCACATAATGACTAAATAAAAGTACGCTAGGGTGAGGAGAACGTTCTTTCCCATATAACATTAGCTAGCCATAGCTACTCAGGGCTCCATTGGTTAGCCCTGGCAAGCTAGCGGCAGGCTAACAATTCACCTCACCTGTGAGGGGTTTCACAATGCCTCACGATCCAAAAACGGTGAATGGCATCTACCAGTCCTTGACGTGTTACTTCCTCTTGGGATTATAATCAGCAGAGACAACCTCTTACATCCATTGTGCATACGAGCCATTCAGCGGTGCCAGGCCTTGCTGTGGTAGCTAGCTATCCCAGCGGATGATTAGCCTCTGATACATCTAACAGCAACTAGCTAGCTAGAGCTAGGATGGCTGCTTGGTTTTAGTAAGTTCTTTGAAATAACGTTAGCCACCATCTGTCTACAGGCCGCTCTGCCAATACGGAATTTAAAAAGAAGAAAACCAAGTGAATATAATCCCAAAGACAACTTGCTCTTCTCATATATCCACAATATTGGCAAAAAAAAGATTCCCAGAGACCGATATACTTGTCAGTACTACACAACTCGGATGCCAGGGTCCAACAGCAGAATTGTCGCAATAAAAATAACACTGATTGGACGACAAAGGTGTCAGTCAAGCTACAAGCGAATTCTATTGCTTCTCCAGCCATGACCCCGCCCATCTTCCTACAAACACAAACACACACACACACATACACACATACACATACATACATACCATCCCTGCCAATGTACGTCATGATTGCACTAAATCATGATTAAATTTATACCTCAGCACAGAAAAGCACAGTCCAAGGCTTGTAAACTGAGCTGCAATAAATTGTAAAGCCTTGGTACTATGTTGTATTGTCACTAAGCACAGAAGCTGTCTCTGACATGAGGTTTTAATTCTCACATGTGACACACTGACACAGTAGAGTATTGTAGTGATCCTTCAGTTGGCAGTGGGGCGCGTGCACATAATAATAATAATAGTATAACTTATTAAATATTATTATTATGTGTAATAATCATGTGTGATTGTACCTACACATACACAGACTACACAGACTAACACACACTGGCTACACAAAGGTAGGATTATAATGACAGCAGGGACCATGAGAATGAGCCCCCCACCCCTCTCACACACACACACACACGCATTAGCAAATCTGAAATCCTGTCATCAAGAAACATGGGATTGGACTGTGTCTCACTCTGTGTGTGTGTGTGTGTGTGTGTGTGTGTGTGTGCTCTTGTACTTGCTATATAGTAAGGACTATAAAGGTTTGGGGGGTTTTTGCTACAGAGTGAGCAAAATGAAGACATTTTGGGTGGTCCTCACTTCCCAAAACTGTTTTTGAGGGTTGAGAATTGGTTTTAGGGTTCAGGTTAGAATTAGGTTTAGGTTACGTTAGGGTAAGGGCTATGGTTATGCATTTAGTTGGTTGGTTGATGGTTATGATTAGCGTAAGGGGCTAGGGTCCTCACAAAGTTAGAAGTACAAGTGCTTGTGTATGTGTGTTGAAGCCCCTTGGCAGCTGGTACTATATGTCAGTGGTCCCCAACCCCCGGGCCGCGGACCGGTACCGGTCCGTGGATCAATTGGTACCGGGCCGCACAAGAAATCATTAATTATTTCCGTTTTA